CGCCATTTCCGCCTTTTGGCCGTACGTTCACTTTTAGTATGGTTTCCACGCAATCCTTTATAAATGAGACCCCTGGTGCTTATCCGGGATCAGGTCGCGGGGGCAGCAGCAGAGAGACCCCGTTCTCCCCAGCGACACCCTCCATGTCCTGGTGGACTCCGAGACGTTCCCAGGCCAGAGGGGATACTGTACATAATCCCTCCAGCGAGTCCTGGATTTTCTCCAAAGTGCCAGACATATTGTGAAAACATTTTAAAATGCTTATTTCAGAACCTCAACTGAGACCACTTGCGACCACGTGGGGGTGGGGGATTTCGTTGCACGACGTTGTGGCTTCTGAATAAATGANAGACGGACTTCAATCACTGAACTCATAAAATTCTTCTTTTTACTTTTCGCTGTCATTTTCCTGAATGGACACTTCCTGGTTTCTGAGGCAGGAAACATAGCCTTATATGGTGTTTTTGGGGTGGTAATTATGCTAATYTCTCCGCRTGCACGAGCAGCTGGATACGAACAGGTGGAAATCATTATGTTTATGCAACTTATTTACACACTTTTCCTGAAGATAGAAGAGTTTGTTGAATCTGACGTGGCATGTTCATACGAACCCTTCATACGAACAAAAGAGAAATTTAGAATACGAACAGGTTCTTGCATGAGGCCCATTCCCTCTTTTCGCTGCCTAACACTGTTTATTTGTATTGTCAAATTTTTCATTACATCAACTCATCTTATGTTGCACCTCTGACTCTAGGTTCTTTGTATTTTACTATAGTATAAAAGTATATTRTACTTTTTTCTTTAGGTGGGTTCCAGAGCTTCCACATTCCGTGAGGAAGTCCCTTCCACCTCAGTGATGCACAGCTCTCTCCCACTTGGTGGCATTGCAAGTTCCCACAAACAGGTCAGCAGTGATCCCGATTTTGATACAGCAGACTTAAAGTCATGAACAATATCCCTTTTATGGCTGCCACACTACACTTTGACACAATACAGCGCATCAGATAAAAAGTGGTTTCAGAGAACACTTAAGTTCTTAAGTTAACACGCTTTAATTTTTTCCCCTCGCATTTTTGCTCTATTTCTGTTATATACAGTATAAATACACGAGACAATCTTGTTTCAGGTCAGTGGTCGTGTTGTGATGGCAGGGCAACCAAAACCATCTAAGACTGTGACCGCTCGCATCACTGCGCGGCCCGGTGTTGGTAAATCAGCGTACGGCAACCTGCAGGTGATGGGAGTGGCTCCGCCCATGAGCTCTGTGGTGGACCATTATCATCCTGTCACCCAGGTGACTGAGCATCACTGCTGCCAGCGTCTGTTCCTAACTCCAAACGTCAGCCATATGAGCCAGTTAAATCCCTTTTCCTGTTTCTCTGTTGACTCTTTCAGCTCACTGTCGGTCAGGCCACAGCTGCTAAGTTCCCTCGGTCATCCCAGCTGAGACACGCCTCCACTAAAGGCAGAGGCTCCTCCAGAACCAGCTCCTGCCAYGTGCACTCCATCAAAGTAGTGGACTGATCACACATTCAGCATGTTTAAATGAAGGATTTAGTTTATTCTATGCAAAAATGTACAGAATTTTTATTATAATGTGAGAACTTGATAACAAAAACATTCATTTCCACTTGTTTTTTGCATCTTTGTCATGAACACAGTATGCGTTTTCTCAGGAAAGTAGTTCACAATTTTCATTATTTACTGACTTGACAGCTATAAATGATTTATTTTTTTTGCACATTAGGTTTTACTTTGAATTATGCACAATTAAAACTATGTGTGTGTAAATTTATGTTGTGGAAATAATCCAGAACTGTTGGTTGTTTACAGACCAAAGCCATCTTCTAATGATCTGATGCAGGATGCTTTTTTTTTAATAAATTATTTTATGACTTTTCTTTTATAAATCCTTGGAACAGTTTAAACTTAACTTTTAATCTATACAAGGAACGGCTCTTCTTCAGGAAACACAACAACTCTTGCTGCTGGTGTTCTCTGCCTCTGTCCGGATTTTATCTGTAAGACAATTTAATATTTTGTTTAAAAACAAATGGGCACACAAGCCAGAACAACTCAGCAATGTTTATGTTTTTGTTAATTGAAGGCACCTGCTGCTTTCCCGTTCCCGGTGAGCACGAGGCCCTGATAGAGTTCTTTAGCAGGATTCCTCTGAGCCAGCTCCTCTCCGTGCAGCCAGATCAGCAGCATCCTATTGCCGTGCTCTTTATAGCTGTGCTGACCTGTGGACAAACAGAACCGCAGGGTTAGGGAAGCAATTCAGCTTGTTTTAGCTTAAAAACTAAATCTGATTTAAAGTATTCTGTATGTATCAGATTTTAGTTTAGTTTATAAAGTTTATTCATTTCTTTTAAAAAGAAAAAAACAGAGCAAATTCTATATACAACAGGAAATACAAATCACAAATAAAAGGAAAGGCAGCAGAAAGAAGAAAAAAATTATATCTGCCCCCCTTTCCCCCCCAAAAAAATTAATTCAAACAATAATAATCTTCAATTTTCTAAATTCCCACCTGTCCACTGCTCCTCTATAGCAGAAACCTGCTCCTTGGTGAAGCCCCAGTGCTCTGCCAGTCGTTTCCAGTCCCCTGCTTTCATCTGCTCGTACGCCAGACGCCAGGCAATCGAGCGGAGCTGCTTGGTCTCACGGCGGTGGTCGAGTTTAAACGTTAGCGGACGCTCGCTCCAAACACTTTCATTAAGCTCTGGGTTGGCCTGAAAGGGCAATTAAATCATGTCAGTAGAATGATAAAGGCCACCAGCCTCAGAGAAACACAGCAGCGTGCGAGGAGGTTATTGGCACAGCACACACGGTTAGCAATATGAATGCCAGAGGTAAACATTTTTAGAATCAATAATTTCAGGGAGTCATGCATATCTTTTTAATTAAATTGATGGTAAATTGGCTTTCAAATGTTTCTGGGTTGCAATTCTTTTTTTTTTAACCTTTGGATGGCTTAATGTTATTAGAGGAGATTTAGCTAATATAGAATGTGGCATTGGAGAATAAATCATTTATGATGAAGCCAAAGATTGATTCCAAAGTCTCGAAGATGGATTAAACTGTAGCAGGTTTAACTCTCTCTYACCTGCCTCCACGTGTAGTATCTTTCTGCTTTGATGATCATGTCCGCAATTATCACCTCATTCGCTCTGGCTGCCACACCCAGTGCCGTCTTTCCCTGCTGCTCCAAATCCAGCGCGTACAATCAGATTAAAGCAAAGTAAACGAGAAGCTGCATTATCTCGTTTACATTTAGATTTCCTTACATTTCACTGGTGTCGTGGCAGAAATGAATCACATTTAGGGGTTTAGCATTTTACGTCGTTAGGAATGAATGTGGATACTTTACTCTGTCTCGCAGCGTTAGATCTACACCCGCTTTAAGAAGCATCTCCACCACTTCAGTCCTGGCGAACTCTGCCGCAAGGTGCAAAGCAGTCTGGGACCTCTAACAGTGCACAATACAACTGAGCAAACACATTCCAGGTTTAAAGTTGAAAGCATGTGTTACTGTGGCGGATACCTTGTCAGTGATATTGATGTTGCAGCCTGCTACTAGAAGAGAATGGATAACAGGTAAGTGACTTTTCCTCACTGCCAGGTGGAGTGGTGCCTCTAGGTGCTGAGAAACATACATATACTGTTACAAATGCTTTAAAAAAGATGAGCTATTTTGTAGCAGAGTTGTGTGTAACCTGTGTTGTACCACTCCCGTCTGGTTTTACTTACCTGATTTTGAATGTCTGGATGGGCGTGGTACTCTAACAGGAGCTGGACAAGAGGAGTGTGGCCTCTTTCAGAGGCCTGATGGAGAGCGCTGCTTTTGGCCTGCAGAGATATGGAGTTCAGTTTTTATTTTGGTAACTAAATACAAAAATTGCAAGCAAAGTCATTAACAGAAGGATATTCTTTTAATGTTTACATTTTTATTTTATTTTTTACCTCTGTGAGAAGGTTGGGGTCACAGCCAGCCTCCAGCAGGGCCAGGACACATTCTTCCTGACCGGTGTCTGCAGCCTGGTACAAAGCTGTCTCACTGTCCTAAAACAGAATCATTTTCTATATATGCTGCTTCCTAATGGGAGACCTTTTGTTTTAGGTAACAGTCTAGTTAACTTAAGTACATAAAATTGTACAAAGTGYTCACATTGTGTCAACTTGGATTCTGTCTCTCAAAAAGAGGCAACGCCAGACAAATATTCATTCAGATCCCATTTGGGGACGTTAACCAGCACGTTTGATGCATCTTAATTAATCCCAAGCAGAGACACCATCCAGGAGTGGATTACCCACTGAACACAAAGTCACAAACCAAACTGTGATGGGGAAGCTGTTCACGCTGATTGCATACCGCGTTGACTTCGTCCCGAGTATCGAAGCCCTGCAGCAGCAGTTGAACGGCGTCCAAGTGGCCGTTCCTGGCCGCTAAGTGCAGGGGCGTGTCCCCTCTCTGGCAGAAGGGAGGGAGGGAAACCGCACACATCAAAGGGTGTTTGACTTTCAGCTGTCTTGCAGGTGTGACGCAAGAAAAATTGCCTTATTTTGATGCACGAAACGCACCAAAAACTGACAAGCAACACACACCTGATTGGGCTTCATGGTGGCCATGTTGTAGGACTCCATCAGTATCTGTAACATTTCAACACACCCGTGTTCTGCTGCCCGTGCAAAGGGCCGGTGTCCTGCCTGAAAAAACCGTGAAGATTAACCACGCAGACGAATGTGGATGTGTTGTTTAACAGGAAGTCATCATCAGACACACACCTGATCATCTTTGTCCAACTCTTTCATCTGCAGATCATTTATAATATACTCTATGACTTCTGTGTGGTTGTTCATGGCAGYGCAGTGCATGATGTTCAGCCCATCCTGAGGGAGAAAAACATTTCTGACCAATTAGGTAAGCAACTTAAGATTTTAATACAATCATTATTTATTATTTAAACAAGTATATTTCTCAGTTACTCAAAAATCCCACTTCACCTCGTTTTCAACCTTCTGTTCAGCTCCCGCTTGCACCAATAGTTTCAGGATCTCCAAACCCCCAAACCATGCAGCCAGGTGAATAGGTGCCACGCCATACTGTCAGGAACACAAACATGAAAACGGTGCCGAAATACTGTATTTCACGCAGGTTGTCGTTCTTGCAATAATCGTTTCAAACCATCTCACCTTGTCCTTTTGGTCTACCTTGGCCCGGCGCTGTAGAAGAAACTGAACGGCATCGTTGTTTTTGCCAGCTACGGCGAAGTGAAGGGCTGTCCTGTGATGCTGTGGCAAAATTCATCAACATAGGATTTCTGCAGAGTTTCTCCCAAAACCTTAGCACTTCTCTGCCTCTATGAACCAAGACACTAGCAGCCGGCTAAGCAAAGCATTGTACCAAACCCACCAAATTCCTCGCATTGACATTAAGACTCTTTCCAAGGAGCTTCATGGTCTCCACATCATTCTTCTTTGCTGCCTCCATAAACTGCTTTTCCGTCTCAAGTACTGGAACAAATCAAAGGCTTTACACATCTTATATGAACATGTGCACACAGCCAAATAAAGGCTCCATCAAAATCCAAACCAAACATTATCTTACTATAAACTGGGCAATTGGTCAATCCTCCAAGAAACTGGTTTTGTGCTTTAAGACACAGTTAAATATTGTATCCTATGTCTTAACATTAAGTAAATACAACCTCACCCAACTTTCTATTATTTGGATAAACAAATGAGAGATGTTTGGGCATAATGGATAAAAGAATGCATCTTTAAAATAAATTCTTCAGCAGATCAGCCTAAACGTTTATTGTATCAAGCTGGTTTTGGTTTGTTTTACCGACAAGGTTATTAGACATAAGAGAATCCATCTCAATGAAGAACAAATAATCGTATGAACATGAGCCTCGCTGTCAAATATTTCAATATAAATGTTCAAATCTCCTCATTCCAGTTGTCTAAAGCTGGTTTCTGTTACTCACACATTTCTTTGTTGTCATAGCTGCTGTCGGCCTCTTCCTCAGTGTTTTTGTTGAGTATAAAGTCAGTAAACCCCCTGAYGGTCTCCTTTCGCATCCACTTCTGGGGGTCCAGGTCCTCCTTCCTCAGACAACGCTCTTTCATCATCGTCCTTAAAGCCATGACTCTTCTTTCCATCAAATTCTTTAAATAAAACCTCTTGAGGGAAAAAGATGTCACCAGGTTTCATGCAGTCCCACAGACGAGCAGGGCTTGAGAAGTGGAAATGATGATAGTTTCTGAGGATTGTTTCGTGTTTACTTTGCCAGCTCACGCCCTGAAAAAGGTCTGCTGATAGCAGGAGTGTATTTAACTGTGTGTACGAACAGGAGGTGGAACGACTTCAATCGTTTTGTTGACTTTTTGATCACACAGGTAGATTGAATAGGACAAACATAACACTCTGGTGGTAGCTGTGACTTTTCTGCCAAGGAAAGTTAGACGAGAAATTTCAAATAAAAGCTATTCAGTCAAACTAGACTTTGAGGTTTGTGCTGAGTGAAAACAGATGGACCCTGATTTCTAAAAGATAAAAAAAGAAAAACACAAAAGTAAGAATTCGGGCAGATTATTTATTTTATACCTTCATGATCAGTACAAAAAAAATAAAGAAATCATTGAAAATAACTTGAAGATAATTTTTACTTTACAAGTCAAAAGTCAAAAGCAGATTTAAATATTAGAATTCTTTAAAAAACAACAATAAACAGAAACATGAAATCTGGAATAAAATAAGAATCTCTGAAGAATTATTGTATTTTTGTTTATGGTTTAAAATACAGGTTAATTAGTGCAAGTGCTTCACTTCTTGTGGGAGCAGATTTTTCTTATACATCATTTTTGTGTGATGATTGTGAGTTTATGACATTAATTTAAATAAAATGTTGAATGAAACCAGAGGAGCTGAGCGTCACTTCTCACTGCAGAAGAAAAAAACTTGCTTGCATCGTCCCAGAGCAGGCAGGTATTCTTCACGGGTTACCTTCACCTGAAGAACTTGTCGATGGTGTTGCGGGAACCGCCGCTTTTAGCTTTTTTAGACGGAGGAGAGGATGGTGTGTCTCTTCTAAGACAAAAAGGAAAAAAACAACTTTTTTAAATTAAAAATTTAGCTGTTCATGCATTTAAAATAGTTTAGTTAAAGAGGTAGAGACATTTATTGACATTTTGTTTCACCTTTTATTTTTGCCTTTACTTCCTTGTCTTGACTGTTGAAGTCTGTTGTCTGCAAGGAAAAGCAAATGAGAGAAAAAAAAACTCTTCTAATCTCTTCTTTGAGAAAATAAAATGGACAAAGATGTACTGTCGCATCTCCTTGGAGCCATAAAGACTGCAATTCCACAAGCTAGCTAGTTAGAAAAACCAGGCTTGGCTTCTTTGTAGGAAATGAAAAGGTGAGGAAGCGATTCAGTCATTTCAAGGACCAGTGGCACACGGGGGTCCCGTGGGGTGAAATGAGATGTCTTTTCTCTGCGTGAATCAATACCACCTTCTTATACAATGTCTGTGTCAGTAAATAACAGGGTCAGAGGTCACRGGCAACCCTTGAAACAGAAAATGCTTCTGCTCACTCCGAAGGAGTCTTACGCCCACAGTTTATGGACATTATTACCTGCATTGTATCTTTCCTCAGCAGAGGATGGATACATCCTCTCAGGCTGAAGATCCACAAAGGAACAAATGACTTTGCTGCACAAAGGACTAGTTGACTAATCACCTACTTACCTGCTCTGCAGATACTGCGCATAATGAAGTAATTAACAGATAAAGTTGAACGGTGTTGGTCGACACCGAAAACAAAAGCTGAATTCCTAATGTTTTTGTGTTAATGCTGACTCAGAAGTTACGCGTCTGTTCTGTTGTCATGTAATTATTTTTGTACATTGTTTTTTGTGGTTTAATTACTTCTGCGTACAGACTTTAGTCATTCTTATACTGAAATGTTCAGCTGTGGGTTCAACTTTTATACTTTCAAACATATTTGATTTACAAATAAGGAAATTTATGTTTGGTAGATTACTTCTTTGTTCTAACAACGCTTCTTGGCAATAAACCTTGCACCAGACACCTAACAGGCTTTCCAACAGAATAAGATTTATTGCCAAGAAGCATTGTTACAACAAAGAATAACAATCTACCAAACCCAAATTTCCTTACTTTTTTTTGCTAAATTTATATTCAACATAGAAATACACTGAAATATCTTTATTTACTTAAAGCACACCRTTATCCTAAAATGTTTCTTAGCATACCTGATCTGATTTTTTTGTTTTCTTATGCTACTTTCAATTTTAAGCTACTTTCTACTGTTAGCTTTTAGCCACCCTTTTGCTTTTGTTAGCCGACTACTTGAATGCTTTTAGCTTCTAGCTAATATTTTGCCAAATTTAGCCTTTTGCTAGCCTTTTGTTCTTCAGCATCTTTCAGCTAGTCATTCAGCCCTCGAAATTCACACTTCGGTTTCACAAAAAAAGCACTTTCTCTTTTTTTCTTTTGCATTAGGAGCAGAACCCTTTCCTGCGTATCTCTATGAATCATGAGTCTGATGTAAACCGAAGAAAAGTGCTCACACTTACCTTTGGTCCCGCTATTTTTAACTGCAGATGGTTTTCTGGTAAATGTCGCCTGTCCTCCGAGCTCATGCAGGACCTCTTGGTTCAGGCAGAGGTCAACGTGTCGGTTGAAGACAGCGAGGTCGTCTGTGTCTTGGGTCACCTGACACACTGGGCAAACAAGGACGGGACTTTTACCACATGACCGATGTTCCTGCAAGGTCCCGGGTTTGTTGTCGCCCTCGATCAGCAGATCCTTTTGAGCAGAGTTGTCCTTTAAACCCTGTTGACCTCCCTGAAGACAAGTTTTGCTCGACTCCAGCTCTTTACTCTTTACAGACGGCTCGTTTTTAACTCTGTGCGCTCCGTTTTGTCCGTGCGCCATCTCACATTTCTGATTCTCTGGGTCTAAATGTGCTGCTGAGCTTTTGTTTAGCTTTTCAGCATCATTGTTAAGACAGCGGTCTATATGTCTGTTGAAGATGTTCAGGTCAGTTGTCTGGACCTGTGCGAAACACACTGGACATGTGAGGGACTCTGTTTGTGTCCCACAGCCTGATGTCGAGGAATGAGCCGGAACAGAGATAACAGATTCTTTTTTAGTAAGGTCTGAAGCTACGCTGCTGTTGTTTGATTGTGACGACTCGCTGCCCTCTTTAGAATCACTTCTTACAGAGGTCATCTTAGAAATGCCTTCTCCACATCTTTCAGCTTGTGTGTTTGAGTTRGCCGCCAGGAGTTGTAGTCTTTTGGCTCGAGCTCTTTGAAAGAAGGACTCCTGGGGTTTCTCGTCGTTTTTTCTTTTTTCTGAACGCCCCTGCTCACTTTGCCAGCAAGCTTCTTCTCGTCTGTGGTCAGCCTGTCCTGCTAGATGGGCCAAAGGCTGCGAAGTTTGGACTGGGTGATCGGAGAGTTGCTTTTTCTCAAGGTTTTGATGTATTATTTGGGAAGAGCGACTGCAGTCTGCCTTGCCTGGCTGGAGAAAGCCGATGATACTTTTCTGCATGGGCGTCTTGTCCTCCACACTGACAAAGGCAGATATTCGAACACCTAAAATCATAAAGAACAAGAAACCTTTAAGAACCCAGAGCTTAAAATAATAAACTACAAATTTTTGTTTTCCTGTTTATGATTTTTTTCCACGTATTTTTTGCAATCTAACTACTYCTACTTTAGCCATTCATGTATCCAAAGGTCTAGCTCAATCAAGAGATGGGTGCTATGAATTTTGGTTTCTGTCATGTTAAAACATTTTTTAAATATTTAGCTTTGTCTACAAATATTTTCCCATACATTCAGATCTCTTCAATTCCTTTAAAACATTGTGTCTTTTAAATCTGTTTGAGCGTACTCAATATTTTTATGCTACTATTAGTTCAGGGTTCCTACAGTTTAAGGCAAGTAAAATTTAAGACTTTTTAATAATTTTTTATGTCAAATGTAATCAAATTTAAGACCAATTTCATAATAAACACAAATGACAAAAARTAAAAACTGTGGAAGAAACTCATGAATCAAAGTATTTTTGGTTGAATTATTCAACCAAATTGTTGTTACTATTTTGTCAAATATCGCATTAACATTTTTAAGACTTCTGAAGATTGATTTAAGACCTTTTAAGGCTAATTAAGGCCTTAATTTTGGATTGATGAATTCAAGGCCTTTTAAGACTTTTTAAGGATCTGCAGGAACCCTGTAGTTACCATTCAACAACATTTCTCCAACATTTAGCCTTTCGCTAACTTTTTGCTACATTTAGCTTTTAGCTAGCATCTAGCTTAAACATCTCAGTTTCAGCTTCTTCAGCAAACTCATTTAGCACTCTGCATTTTTGCAGAAAATGCTATTTGTCTAGCTTTAATCAGGTTATAATAATTGATATTATGTTTATATTGTTAAATGTGATTACCCATAAGCCTCAGTCTCAGCGGTTGGGGGATTTCATTTTCTATTTCCATTTTCAATAAATCCTTCGCGACAGCATAGATGTCCTCCACCGTAGCCACGGCGTATGGGAGCGTCTGCGCCCTGGTTTTCACCTCAAAGTTGACGTTCTTGAGCTTCAAAGTAATCGTTTTACCCTTCACAAAAAAGAGGGGGGGAAGTAAGTCATTTCTGTTCACTTTCAAACTATTTACAAAAATTCAACACCATTGTTCAAAGAGACTGAAAACAAAGATGGAAATCTGGAACATCAGATCTGATCTGTCAGAGAGCATTTTATGAGTTTTCATAGTAATGCCATCGTCTCCCAGGGGGAACACTTCAGAGTGGCCCCTGCTGTCTCTTTAACGGCCCTCCATTTTATGTTGCCTATAAGGGACTAAGGCAGGGGGGCCAAGCTATCTGTGCCATCCTCTATTGATTCAGAAAGAAATGGACAGGTTGATGTAATTATATAAGTTATGGTCTGAAGTCAAGGTGATGCTTGAAAGGCCAAGAATAGAATGGCATGGGTTCATCCAGAAAAGTATGTTTAAATGGACATTTTTATTTGTTCAAATATCTATATATTGTGTTAGAACTACTGTATTTACATTTTTTTACAACAGCTTTAAAGTTACAAAACGTTGTGATGAACACTGAAAGCCAGAGGCCTTTTTAACCTTCTGAGATATCTTTATGTTAAAAACAAATAAAGCAGCTTTCATTCAGTACCTTCAGCCCTTCTTTGCTCAGGTCCTCTGCCAGATCTTCACAGAGCTGTCTGCATAACAGCAGCTGCTCATCAGGTTTACTTAATTCTTTAAATGTTCTGTCARTATGGACCAGAAATCTGAGTAAAAATCAACAATACGACAAAAGGGAACCTTGTTGATGGCTGGCTGAATAAAGCGTACCTTTCTGTGCTCATGCTTTTTCTTTCTTCATGTCTGAAAGAAAGCAGAAACACAGATTTATTTTCTGTTTTCTTTTAGCTTGAATGTTGCTGCTTTAAATATCGTTAGGTAAGCAACATACCTTGGTATAAACGTGGATCCGAGACCCAGAGCAATCTGCATGAAATGATGCCAAGCCGTCTCCGAGAACAACAGTGACAACAGTGCCATCTGCTGGCCGAGATGTGCGCAGGTGGTGATGTCCAGAGAGTTCAGCATTTTTTCGCTCACCTTCCCGATGCCACAAACCTGAAGAAATACATAAATATAGTTGTTACTGTATGTTTTCACTTATGCATATTTTAACCCACAGGTTTAAACACATCACAACCTGTTAAAGAAAACAAACAACATTGTTAGAGAAAACGAAAAACTAAGTTAAAATAAGCTTCTTTACTTTTCAGTGAACACTTTCTCTAATGAATTCTTATTTCAAAATCTTAAAAAGGATTTCTTCAGGCTAAAGTGTTGCACGTTATGTACTACTCCGGCAATTCACATAAATACTTTCTAAATACAACTAAACAACAGCAATCTTAGCAAAATTAATTAAAGACAACCGGACTGCTTTTTTTTTAAAAGAAAGGAATAAAAGGCTGCAATTTAAGATAAGCTTGTGTAACTTCAGCAAACTCTTGAAAATAAAAACGAGCTAAAGGAAATATGTGTCAGTGTTGAATTAGTGTTAAGATACTTTTATAAAACGACATAATCCAGTATCTGATGTTCAAAAGTATCATCAAAAGATGTGGTCAGCTGAAACTCCTGATGCAATCGACTAACGATGTCGCCAAACACAACATTCAGCTGTGGTGCAAGTCCCGCAGCTACACACTGAGAGCACAGCGTGTTACACAGTGCGCATCCCTTATTACAGCAACAATCTTGGTGAAAGAACCGACTGCAGTGTGTGGCAACAGCAAAATGACTTTTTYACCACAAATTCATGAATTTAACATTAGTTAGTAACCGCTAATGTGATCCTACTGAGATGCATGCATGCACTCACATGGAAAACTTTACACATATGCACACAAAAAAAAATTGCACTAAAACAAGAACTCAGATGCTTGTTACGTTGTTATATGTGTGATTGTTTTTTAGTGTACTTTGCGAACAGGAAGCGCCTGGATGAAGTCCATGACTGCCTCTCTGGTGGGGAGGAGTCTGTACTGGCCGTTGGGCTTGTTCTTGTCACTGCACACCTTGGCCAGCATCGTGTTTGGGGCAATTCCTAAAAGGTCAAGAAGTGAGAATCAACAAGGAAAACTTGATTTCTAACCGATTTATAATAATGCTGCATACCAGGTTTGCTAATGCTACGATACATCGTCTATATATTTCAGCGTTAGCTGTAGGGACTTTAGAGCATCATGAATCTTTTTTTATGTGACTATAATGCAGATTTAAAAAGATAGCGTCCATTAGGAACATTCCAGAGTTTTTCCTCACCTGCACTGGCAGTCAGCTTGGTCTTCTGTTCAATGCGGAAGCGCATCTCCCTCACAGCCTCCTCCACAGAGGTCCCAAACAGCTCAAATTTATCACCAGCACCCCCGTCAGAGCCAGGCAGGCAGGGAGAGGAGGTAGGACTGTCCTCAAACAGGACTGGCGAGAGGTCTGTTACCTTCGGGTGATGCTGAGTCTGCTTTTCATCTGTGCACAAGAGATTTCACACAAAGATCAGAAATGCAACGCATCGTATCTTTGGTTTAGTATTTTTATGTCATTAGGCCGTACCTGCAGCAGTGCTCTGGGAGGAGAAGCGGTGCGTGCGTGAGGCCTCTGGCCAGTTCTGCCTCTGCTCCAGGTGGTCCGTAAAATCCAAATAGGCCTCATCCAGACTCATCGGCTGGAAGTGAGGATCGTAGTCTGCAAAAATCTCCCGGATCTGAGAGACACATCTTTTATGAGCACCTCTTACTGAGATACTAAAAGACTAAAGTGGCATTTGTTTTATGGGTTTTGTCTTACCTCGTCGCTCACGGCTCGGTATTTATCAAAGTTAGGAGGAACAATCACCAAGCTGGGGCAGAGTTTCTTTGCAATGAAGCCAGGCATGGCAGCTCGAACCCCATATTTCCTGGCATGGTAATTCGATGTTGACTGCATGACAAACAAACAAACAAACAAACAAACAAACAAATAAATAAATAAATAGAGGAACACTTGCTTTAAAATCATAAAGATTAAATTTAAAAAGGTCACAAGTTTTAGAAATACAATAACAGATGTAAACAAATGAAATTTCAGGGTGCCCATCATGCCATATAAAACCTATACAAGCTCAGTATTTAGTTTTATTTAAAGAATACTTGCAGTTTATTTAGATTTAAACCGAAATGTTAGTATTTGGTATTTGCAACCCAGTGCAGAAGGTTAAATCCTCTGTTGTGGTATTTGTTTGCTTCATCTCTGTTTCTGTAACATTTTAACCCACCAGCATACTTGTGGATCCTACAGCCATCGGCTTGTCCTTCAGCTCAGGACAGTCTCTCATCTCCACAGCTGCGTAGAAAGCATCCATGTCCACATGCACAATCACTCTGCTTAGATCCCGACTCCTCTCCAGTTCCGAGGCCATCTTTCCCACCTACACAGCAAGTTTTTTTAAGCTTTTATCAAACAGTTGATCTGATCAGCTTTAATCTGACATACAGCATGTATAATATGTATAACCTGAGTTTGAGCTTKCTTTAACTGTTGTTCTGTGATCTGAGCCTTTTGAAGCATCATTTTCTCAATGCGCTGGTTCATCTGCTGCTCCCTTTTCAGCTCATTCTCGTAAAACTTGGATCCCTGCAAGATAAAGTTAAGAAGAGATAGAAACTTCAAAGTAAGAGTCAGAAGTCTGGTTGTTTAYCTTTTTTCTTTTCTGTGCAGCACTTAATGACTTGGAGCTGTTCAAAAAAATCTCAGGCAGTAATTAGCAGTAAATGTAAGGTAAGGTATTTATATAGCACTTTTAAGCAGCAAGGCGATACAAAGTCGTTCACATGATACAAACAAAAGTGAATGTATGCTAGTTTAGTGTATTTTTCAGTACCTTACAGGCTTCCATGATGATTTTATTGATCTTGTCTCTGTCAAGACCTTCCATGCCAGCCTTGTTGTCATTGAGCGCCATTCTCGATAGACAGCTCTCCTCTTTGCTTGATGAAACCTCCATCCTGTTGTTTTGTGGCAGTCTGTCTGACCCAGTATTTGCTCTAAGAAATCCCGAACTTGTATGTGTTGCGTCGTTTTCTTTTGGACCAGAAAACCCACAGAATACTTAAAAACATCGCTTTTTTAAAATCCTATATCAAAAACCTTAACATTTGAACGAAACACTCAGCTGTGACGTTCATGTCCATACATGTTTTGAAACAGCGATTTTGGCGGTACTTCCGCATACGTCACCACAGAGGAGTGCGGAAGTCACATGAAAAAGTACAATAACTAGAGAGGTTGGTGACAAATTAATAAAAAGAAAAAGGTTTTCTATGAAATGTAATGAGACCACATGAAAACTATGAATTTAAATATTAATAGGGTAATATTAAAATATGCTTTCTATTTCTAAGTTCTGGAAATCAGACATTATTTTAAGGTTTTTCAAACAGACATTTAAAGATATCCTATAACCTCCTCTGGCCTGCACATTGTTTTAATGAATCTGATCCCTTCAAAACACATCACATTTATTTATATGATACGAAATGACATTTTACTGTAGTTTGATGAGCCTTCTCTGTTTAGATCTGCAATATTTCTTACAATCCCTAATTATCTAGTAAGATAATAGTAAATCTAGTACATATCATAAATTTGCAGAAAAATCAAAGACATTTTTTTATTAATCCAAGAGTTGTGTCATGTCTATCTGAAGTTCAAGAGAAAAATCTTATGGCCTAATACTGATTTGTTTGATCTGACTTCATGTGTGAACTTTATGAACTTTAGACTTGTGTATTATCTGTGGGATTGAAGTACATAGAATAACTTGTCTTGCAATAGAAGAAACAAACCGTTTTATATTTATATTATGCATACACCCACCTCAGCACGTTTGGCCCCAGGGTGCATAAGACAGCAACCCTAACCTAAGACTGTAAACATAAAAAAACGGTATCACAAACAAACTGACCACAAACAAAACCACATTATTTTCTAAGCACATAACCAATGTCAATAAGAAAATATATAAATCTGAAGTGGGGGGAAAAGTCAGAAAAGTGCGTTCATATATGTCAAAATCAAGAACAAACTTGAAAAAATTGAACTTCTAAATGCACATGACAATAATCAGCGTTTGAAAATAACACTACAATTTATATTTCCGGTTTATTCCCTACAAAGTAAAACGGAACATAAAAAAATCATCGTGAAAAATACTGTCGTTTTTCTTAATTTGAAAGTTTATTTTAAATTTATTTTTGATTAATTTAAAACTTGATTGTATTAAAATGAATGCCTATGCGGCTTTCGGTTCACAGCAGTAACACTTTTTAAAATGTAAACGATTTTATTTGCACAAATCTTCGTTCAGCTTCCGGTTTTACTGTGTTACTTGACGCATCTTTACGCAGCAGGTACACAGTAAAGCGTGGCTGCGGCTCCTCCCCMCTGAAAAGCTCTCCGACACAGCTAACCGCAGCCGAACCAGTGCAGGCGATATGTCCGTGGCTCTTTATTAGTAGGTTAAATTKAGCAATTTGGAGGTTTGACACTAAGGCTTTATATTTTAGGACCTATGAACTGCAGCTTATGTTGCTAAGGTAAACGGATACTACTTGTTAGGTAAAGTTAGTGTTAGCTAGTTGCGTCGTTGGCCAGCTAAGTTAGCTAGGCTTATTGGTATTCGACGTTTCAAAACAAAGCCCGCTGTCACCGTCGGAGTAACTTAATAAGAGACACACGAGCTTTTTCAGACTGCCGCGTGGAAACAAAATGCGATATCCAGTTTCTGTTTGGAATCCGATTTAACATTTCGTCGATCGATTGAACTTGATTTGAAGCTGTCAGCAGGTTTGGGCTGTGACGCCAATTGAACGAATCGACCTTCTAACCCTAAGCTGCGTGATTTTTAGGCTTTCCTGAAAACTGAAAATCCAATGTCCGAAAAGAGCTCGTCGTCCGGTTCGGATGAGGATGTGGACCCAGAATCCGGACAGCCCGTGGAGTTCGGGGGCGTTTTAAGCAAAGTAAGTTTTAGTGAATTTGTTTGGGCTTTCTACACTGCTGAGTTTGTTTCTGACAACACCACTGTGAGGAAATAACTAACCAGCCGCATCTGCTCGACTTTATTGTTCACTTCACGTATTTTGTGTTTTCAGTGGACGAACTACATCCACGGGTGGCAGGACCGGTGGGTTGTGTTGAAAAACAACACGCTGAGTTACTACAAGTCTGAGGATGAACGGGAATATGGCTGCAGGGGTTCTCTGTGCCTTAGCAAGGCTGTCCTCACAGTAAGTGTTAACCCTTCAACTTTACCCTTCTGTTATCTAAAGTACAAAGTAGACTGATGTTTGGCACCTCTGCAACGTGTCATTTTATTTTCTGTCGTGCCCAAAGTGTTAAACTGTTTTAGCACAATCTCCCGGATGCACACACACACACACACACACACACACACACACACACACACACACACACACACACACACACACAAAAAAAAAACTCACTCTCTCTCTCTCTCTCTCT